TTTTTTTTTGACAAAAACGGGCCCATTTTCTTGAAAAACTTGCCATTTTTGGGAGGTCTGCAGAGTGCAAAAACTTTTTTTTTTTTAATTTGCCTCTTCAAAATCTTGATGTGTCTTATACTGTGGTGCATCTTATATTCCGAAAAATACAGTATATCCCTTACTGGTGGTATCCAAAACTGTTTTTGTAAGATATCATGTCTCCCTGTCTTCAGGTGTAAACACAAAAACAAGCAGGCTGTTGTCAAACCAGGCAACTGGTGGCCAAACACTGAGTTGTCTAGAGAAAAAACTGGTATTGTCATAGAAGACGGAAACTCTGAGTGGTGGTCCTGATGTTTTGAAGTAACCTTGGAGCAATGCGCAAGCAACTGCAATAGGATATTGAAAGCTATCCAAAGTTAATTTGTACACAAACTTCCAATTACTTTAATGATAAAAAAAAAAAAATTACTTTGTTCAAGTGGCTTTGTCTAAGTCCAGCTTGAAGGCCACTTGTGAAATATGAGGTTGGAGACCCTGTATAGAATGGGGGCAATGGAGTTCCTAGATGGTTTTGCTCAAACCCAGGAGATGAGACCTGAAAGAGAAATTGGGTTGCGTTTTAGGTGCTTGCACGCAAACTGTCATATTTCAATATTTAGGAATTTTGCAAATGTAAACTTGTTGCTTTTCACTGACTGAAAGCAGAAATAGGCACTCGGCATCTGGATTTTACACCAACATTTTCATAGTTTCACTATGAAGTCTACACGTGATACTATAGAACAGTGATGGCAAACCTTTTCCTTACAGCGAGCCAAAATTGCGCGCATGAGCGCTATCTTGCGTATGTGCCCACTCAATCTCCCCACCCACCTGCGCATGCGACACACACCCTCCCCCGCATGCACTCGCGATCCCTCCCCAGGCTCTGGAGGCTTTCCTGAAGCCTGGAGAGGGTGAAAATGGCCTGCCCCCGGCCCTCCGAAAGGGCGAAAAATCAACTGGCTGGCACACACATGTGCGCTGGAGCTGACGGCTAGCGTGCCACCAAATATAGCTCCACGTGCCTCCTGTGGCACACGTGCCATAGGTTCACCATCACAGCTATAGAAGATCAAAAAGTGGGACTTTCTTGGCATTTGCTGTGTTCCTGACCAATACGTTTCCAGTATATACCTTACAACTTTCCTTCTCACCCATTCCTTGCTCCTCCTCCATTCTAGCTAATAATGGCTTCCGCTTAAATATTTCCTAAAATATATAATTATGCATAAATTGGTGATAGATCTATGCATATCACTGGCCTATACCGATGCTATTTTCCCCTCATATACATAATTGTACCATTTGGCTCCACAAGGAACAGGGGTAACGGACTGAATAGCAAAAGGAGAAGGAACAGATACAGAAATTGGCAGCTTTTTAAGGAGCTCCCTAAAATCTGGTTCATTTTAATTAGCGGACAGTTTTTATTCAACTAATGTTTACCTTTTGCTTCTTATGTGCAAATACACTTTGCTGGCATGATGTCTCTCTGGCCTGGGGATATATTCGTGATACCAAGTCCTTTTGAAATAAGAGAGAATAGATCTTTTCAAGAAACTTTTGCTACCGCCAAAGACAAATATGGTCCTGAAACATTCACTTAATATTTTATACGTTCACTAATGAAAAGCAAAAACCTATGCATGCCTACATGTCCGTCTGTCCCCCCCCCGTTTTCCAACTCTGATAATCACAAACAATTTACTAATACTCACAGGCTGATAGTCAAATGCAGAATTATCTTCTGATTGACTAGATGAGGGCAAGAGAAGATCAGACATGGATGCCTGTTGCATTCTGGGATTGGAAGCATTGCCAAGTGCACCGGTCTTTGGATTGAATGTTTTATTAGTTCCACCTGCAAGTAAAGTGAATATGCAGTAATAAGATTACAATCCCTTTAGATCAGTGTTTCTCAACCTTGGCAACTTGAAGATGCCCGGATTTCAACTCCCAGAATCCAAATAAAATATGTACCTATTTGCTAAAGAACTTCTGAATTATGCTATGATCCCAATTTCTGAGATACCACTCCTGAAATCATTCTTCAGCAGAAAAATCTTTAGTTTTTAATCCTTTAAGTTGTTTAACATTGTTTATGTAGGAGAGCATAAGGCATTCAGAGTCAGTGGATGACCAGAGTGGCATATAAACCTAGTAAAATAAGTAAACTAAAAAAGTTATATAATCCCGAACTTAGCAAAGAAAGCTAGGATGGGAGGATGACAGCTAAGGAATAAATAGAAAAACAGAGAATAAACACAAACCCATGTTTGAAAGTATTATTCCAGAACAGTCTTTTCCCACTTGCGTCCTTCAAAAATTGGGAACTGCAGCATCCGAAGTTCCCATCTATTTATTTATTTTTAATATTGGCCAAACATGATTTTAGTTGGGGAGCAAATATTTTCTCTTGGTTTCCCTCCCTGCCAATCACTGCTTACCTCCAATCTTATTTCTAGGGAGAAGACTGTGCAGATTTAGATATGGATTGAGTGGAATCTTGAAGTCTTTTGGTGGCTCTCCCAGGAGAGAAACCTGAAAGGAAAACTGCAATAGTCACAATTTCTGGGAAGCAGCAACACATACAATCTCCACATTCTTAGTAATTAAACGAACAAAAAAACCTAGGTAGTTATCGTTCATTCCAGCTCTATAAATTGTACCATGAAAGTAGTTGTTTTGCATTCACTCAGATTTTAATGTCTGCAAATATCATGACTAATTGTGCTGGGGGACTTCAACCTGCCATCTCTAGGCGAACACTCTGACGGGGCTCAGGAGTTCATGGCTTCCATGACAACCATGGACTTGACTCAAGTAGTTCAGGGTCCGACTCATAGAGCGGGACACACGCTCGACCTCGTATTTCTCTCGGGGCAGAGGAGATGTGATCTTGAATTAAGGGGAATAGAGATCTTGCCCTTGTCATGGTCAGATCACTCCTGGATGAGGCTTGACTTTAGGAAGCTACTCCCCCATTGCAGGGAGGTGGAACTGACTAAATGGTTCCGCCCCAGGCGCCTGATGGACCCGCTGGGATTTCAGAAGGAGCTTGGAGTGATACCTGACTCCCTTGCCCATAATCAGACAGAGTCCTTGGTTGCCGCCTGGAATACTGCGGAGGAAGTGGACAAGGCCATGGGA